GAAATCTAACTTTGTCAGAATTTGAACTGTTTTAGGTTGAAAGGTTCATTAAAAAAAATTATGATAACACGTCCAAAAATCAACTTAAGAAAAGTTAACACAAAAAAATTGGTCCTTATTTACTGTTTTGGCTAATTAGTCCGTAATGAGGACCCTTATTTAATAGGTAATCCTTATTTAATAGAGATTTTTTACGAAATGACTAATATGATTGATGGTTGACAAACTCAATGACAACTTCTATCAATGTCAAATTTCAAATATGAAAGTGAGTCCTTATTTAATAGAGATTTAAAATGGGGACCAAAATGAAATCTTAGGGTCCGTAAATGCAACTAGGCATATTTATTGTTTTAGGCAGATTAGTCCTTATTTAATAGAGATTTTTACGGAATGACTAATATGATTGATGGTTGACAAATTCAGGAACAACTTCTATCAGTGTTAAATTTCAAATACCAAAGTGAGTTGTGCCAATTTTAGACAATTTTAACTAAAAAGCCTTTTTTTTTTCTCATCAAATTATGCACTAGAGAAAAATAGTTCTTTTTTTTTTCTCAGATCCAAAAATTAGTAATGAGGATTGTCAGAATGAGTTGACACAACTTGATTTGTTTTAACAAAGGAGAGCACTATCTACATACTTCTTTTTACTTTTAACACGTCTTCTTAATTTTCTATCGACGGATCGAATGAAAGATCAAAGAACAAAATTAATAAGGGATGTGTGAATATCACATCCCTTAACAAAAACTCGTTAACCCTTTACCGAAACGTTGAATTTTTAGTGTTATTTCGTGTTGTGGTGGCGTATGATGTTTGTTATTCAGTACTACGGTATATTGGTATTCATTTTCACTTGAAGTGAGATGTCTTATGTTCGAGAGAAGTAAAAAGGGATGTGTGGATATCACACCAAAAAAAAAAAAAAAACTACAGCATCCACAGCACGTGCTTTGTGAAAGGAGTCAATCACAGATCCCTTTCATCAAGAGGATTAGCTGGTAAGGTTAAAATTCAAATAAAAAAATAGAAAAGAAAAGAAATGTATTTCCACGTGCTGCATGTTGATTGGACAAGTTATGTGTCCCTTAAATGGGAGTGCGACTTCGTTGCAGTCGTCCATTCTAGGTGATATTTCAACAGCCCGACCTTCTTTTTGTGTAACTAAAGTTTTGTCCCCATATTACCCCTTGTGCCCTTCCCACCACTACTTATTGTTTTGGATAAATTACAAAAAATTATCTCAACTATTAATGTTACGACACTTCCATACCTCATCTTTTAAAATTGACAATGTCATACCTCTGCTTACGAATTTGTGTCAATATTATACCTTCTGTTAGTTTGACATGAATTTCTCAGTTAAATACTGATGTGATTTGATCTGGGACTCATTTTCTATTAAAAAAATTATTAAAAACTAAAAAAAATCATTTAATATTTTTTAAATATTAAAATAATAAATAAAAGTTAAAATAAAAAAAATAAACCAACACTCAGTTCATCCCCTTCCCCTCTTTTCTCTCTTCTCCCCATCTTCATCTTCTTCCTCCTTCCTGCAACTGCAACCCAGAAAAAAAGAAGAGAGAAAAAAAAAAACCAATTTGTCTTCCCCGCTCCCACCCCCCCCCCACCCCCTCTTCTCCCCGCACCCAACTTCCCCACCTTCGCACCCACCCTCTGCACCCAACCTCGCACCCACTACCTACAACCCAAAAACAAAAAAAAAACAAAAACCAGAAAAAAATCCAGATCTCGTTGAGGTGGAATCGAGAAACCTTCGCCAGGCCGATTCTGAAGGTTGAGAACTTGGGCGCAGAGAAAATGGGGGGAATGGGTGTGGAGGGAAGAGGGTGGGTGTCCGGGGGAGAGGGACTGACGAACTGGGTTTCCTTTTTTTTCCTTATATATCTTCTTCTTCTTCTACAGGTTGGGTGAGGGGGGGACAGACGAATTGGGTTTTTTTTTTTTTTTTTCTACTTCTTCTTCTTCCTCTTTTTCTTTTTCTTCATCCTTCTTCTTTCTGGGTTTATTGGGGGGGGGGGGGAACTGGCAAGCATTTCATGGGTCAATGCCATAAATAACTTGGTGTTTGCTGTGGCGGTGCAGCAAGGGCTTCTGTAACGGATTATGTCCAAGCCTCCCTGCTGGATTCTGGGAATGAAGAACAGAGAATCACAGAGGTGAAATAGGGGTTAAAACCCTTGAATTTCCAATCAAATTCGACATGCAAGGAATAAGAATTATACATGAGGTTTAATGGAAGTCAATTTGAGTCCACAAACTTCGAATTCGTCAAGCTTAAACTTGATTTTCGCCGAAGCCTCTCGTTGGGAAACTGGTAAAGAAAGAACAGGGAATTACTTGGGTTTGTGGTGGGGGGAGGGGGGCGAACTGGGTTGTGTTGGGTTTTTTTTTTTTTCTTCTTTTTCTTCTTCTTCCTTTTCTTCTTCCTCCTCCTTCTTCCTCCTCCTTCTTCTTTTTGGGTTTGATAGGGGGGAGGAACTAGGTTGGGTTGGGTTTTTATTTTTTTCTTCCTCCTTTCTGGGTTGCAGGAAGATGGGGATGGATGAACTGACCTAAGGTTTTTTTTTTTGGTTTTTTTATTTACTTTTCTTTATTATTTGAATATTTAAAAAATATTAAATAATTTTTTTAGTTTTTAATAATATTTTAATAGAAAGTGGGCTCCGAATCAAGCCATGTCAGCATTTAATTGAAAAATTCATGGCCAAGTAACGGAAGGTATAACATTGGCACAAATTCGTAAGATGAGGTATGACATTGTCAATTTTAAAAGATGAGGTATGAAAGTGTCGTGACACCAATAGTTGAGGTAGTTTTTTGTCATTTACCCTATCGTTTATGTTTTAGGAGATCTAGTAGATCCTCAACTCACATTCATTTATCGTACATCGTGCAGTCAGAAACAAGATCGGCCCAGGCTCAGTGCAGGCAGAGCGACCGTCCAAGGCCCCAAAAAATTGGGGGCACCAAAATTATTAGGGTAGTATATTTATATATGTTTTTATAAGAGTATAAATTTATAAAATTTGGTTTAGTAACAAAGAAATTTAACTAGAACTGGTGATTTTGTTGTTTTAAATTAATGAAGAGGTTCAAAACATCACGTGTGCTTATTTACATTCTAGTTTTTACAAATTTCTTTTCATAACTGTATAAATTTACAAAATTTAGCTAAATGATCAAGAAGTTTGATTAGAAACAGTGGGTTTTTTTTTGCTAAAATTAATGAGAGGTCCTAAGTTTGTTTATTTTTTTTTCAATTTTTACAAATTTTTGTTTGGTTGTTAATTTATTTACTAGCTAGTAGCTATGTGGGTTGTCATTTTTAAACATCCGTTCCAATTCAAGTCTAATCTTCAACAAAAAGTACCGCATAAACTAAATTTTTAGACCAAATTTGCAAATAATATTATGTGTCATCAAAAGGTTTAATTCAGTGTTCATTCATTACTTATACATATCCTTAAATACTTGAAAACATTATTAGTTTTTTAGTCTTATATTGACGAGATTAGTAAATAAGAAAAAAATACTTTATACAAAAACACTTTAAAAGTTAAGATGGAAAACAAAACTCATAATCTATCTACTTGCAAGCCCAAAGTTTTGTTTGTTTCCTTCTCTCGATACAAAATAAATTAGTTATTCCGTGTTTCTAAATTATTGAGTTTGAAGTGTTTTTCTAAATATAATTTTATCGATGTCTTACGTGTGAAAACAAATAATTTTTTTTTATATGAAGTGAGGGCATATTTTTGGCGTCGCCCCAGGCCTCAAAAATCTCTGGACCGGCCCTGGTCAGAAATCATTGTAAATTTTTTTATTTAAAATTGAATATAAATAGTACCTGACGAAAACTGGCCGCACGATATACGATGAACAAATGTGATTGGAGGATCCGACAAGGATCCTCTCTCATATTTTAGTACCATTGTTTCCCAACATAATTTTATACTTGGTCCATGAAATCTTTTATCTTCTTTTAGCATTATCACATCACATATTTATACCCCATTAGTGTACCATCTTAAAATATCGCACATTCTAAATTCACTTAAGCAGTGTTGGGGTGTGCTAAAGGTGAAATGGAACAGGGCCTGAATTTCTAAGGACCCCAAAAATTTTCTTCCTCCTGCCTGTTACATATGAGTATAAATTTTCTTATAAAAAAGTTTTTGGCTAAAAAGAAAAATTATGATCATGTTATGTTATCTATATTACAATTGATTAAGTGGAGTCTACACTTTCCTCCACTTTTCTCTAGCAGTAGAAAAACTTGTGTATTATTTTCTTTCACTTTTCTCTAGCAATAAAAAATGATGTATTACTTTCTTCCAAATAAGCGTATTTTCGTATCTCTTTTCCAATCATACTCCATTTTTTCATGGATGAACCCTAAATCATAATTTCATGGTAGTTGGACATTATTTAATTAATAAGAGTGAGATGTTGATTTCAATTAAATTTAAATTTAAATAATTAAATTCTATATGAATATATTGTTAAAAATATTATTATTTTTCAAATAAAGGGAATATTTTTATTAAATTCGCACATATCCTTTAAAATGTCATAAACTCCCTGCACTTAAGATGGTACACCCTTCCTATTCCTATTGGCAAACCCAATAATCAAGAAATGTGTATATATTTTTTTTAACAAATGATATTATTTACAGTAAAAGAGAGGTGATGAGTTTAGCCTCACAATAGGCTAACAATAATGTGGTTCAATTTTCGCTTAAAACCTCTCACTTATAAGTGAAAGAGAAATACTAAATAAGATTTTAAGAGTTCAAATAACAGTTCCAAGAAGTCATATAAGATACTTTTCAATTTGTTGGTAAAATATGGGTTAGTATTTACAACAACAATATGTCTGGTTACGCAACCTTTTAATTTATCCACCATACATTACCAAAACAAATAGAAAAATAAAAAGAAAAAAGAAAAATAATTAACGAGGGGTTTAGAGAGAGAAACTTTCACAGCCCTTCATTCCCACCCAAAAACCCCTCATCAAACTTCAAAGGGCATCAAAACGTGACCCCCTCCCTCTCTCTCTCTCTCTCTCTCTCTCTCACAGATAACATAGTTTTTGAATACAATAAAAAGAACCCAGAGAGACTTACAAACCCCTCTCTCTCTCTACAAAAACCAACCCCAAGCCAAAACCCTTGTGTTTCTCTCTCTCTAGAAATGGAGTCACTGGACTCACTCGACGACATCCTCAACTTCCACTCCGACGACGCCGGCGCGGAAGATAAAGCCCATGACTTTAAACCCTCCATTGCTCCCTCTGGGGTTTTGTGCCCTGATGATCCTAGCCGTCCGTTTTCTCAAACAGTAAGTTGCTTGATTAACTACCCACCATTTCTGGCTTTGTTTTGTTCTTTGGGGGTTACAGGCCGTAGCCAACCGATTCCGTTTCTGAATCGGCCGAGACTCGGCTTTGTGGGTGTTTGCCACGTGTTCACCCAGGTTGGTTTGGGTTTGGACCGAGTTAACTGGGGCGAGTTGGTCCAAGTTTGGGTGTGGGTGTGGGGGATGGTGGCTTTGGATTTGTGATTTGATTAACAGCCATTTTTGTATAATGACGATTTTGCCCCCTTGGTATAGGAGCATTTACAGAAATACCGAAGGTTTTTTTATACAAATGGGTCAAGACTTTCGCCCATGTATTTTACCACCTATTTTATTTTATTTTATTATTATTATTATTATTACTATTTTAACAAAACAATTTTGAACGGGATTGCGCTAAACTTGATAATGAATTTATAATAATGTGATTAGAATTTGCTTTTTGAAAAAAATCGAATACATTCAATTTGATGGTGCCATTGCCACAAATGTGATAGGAACAGTGAACCAAGCCTTCCTTACTTTGTCCAACATCCTACGTGGCAAAACTCTTGGATTTTGTGGCCCTTTGATTCCCCAACACATGGCGGGGGATTAGCCTGATCGGTTTTTACGCGACCAACTCAAAATCTCCACCGAGTCAGCTCACTGTTTTTATGTTCACTTGCAGGAGGAGGGTGTGGAGGAGGAGCTAGAATGGCTGTCAAACAAAGACGCGTTCCCGGCGGTGGAGACATTCGTTGACATTAACCTTCTGATCGGGCAACCAGCGGGCATTGGCACGGACAAGCACCAAAGCCCTGTCTCGGTGCTTGACAACGGCACAACCCCCACCACCACCCTCATGAGCAGCTGTGGGACACTCAAGCCCCCTCAGGGTGCCCGAAGCAAGGGCCGCCGTAGGCGCGAAAGCTCCAGCTTCCCAGGCACTCTTGAGGAGCACGTCTTTTGGAGCCAATCTAACAACTGCAAAAAGGATGACAAGACAATAGTGAAAAGAACAACAGGGATGGCGATGATTGGGAGAGTATGCCAGCATTGCGGGGCTGATGAGACCCCACAATGGAGGGCAGGTCCCCTTGGACCGAAAACCCTGTGTAATGCTTGCGGGGTAAGGTACAAGTCCGGAAGGCTTGTTCCTGAGTACCGCCCTGCAAGTAGCCCAACTTTTTCAAGCAAGTTGCATTCGAATTCACACAGGAAGATAATGGAGATGAGGAAGCAAAAGCACGGGACGGGGATGTCAGCTTAGCCTGAGGATGATGGGTAGGCTAATTGTGGGTAGTCGACTTTTTTCCGTTTTAAGATTAATTTGGAGCTTGTAGGGTTGCTGTAATGGGGGTTTAATGGTGGTTAGTGTTTGCTCCTTGTTTTGATGAAATGACCACAGCTAGGTGAAATTTTGAATTGTTGTGTTTGGTTATGTTGTAGACTAGTAAACAAGATCGTGTTTTTGGTGTTTATCAAATTTTAATTCTTTGCTCTGTTAGCTTCCCAGGCGATTCAGGGGAGCAGCTCTTTTCGAACCAAGCCCACAAGGACAGCAAGGATGGCCGGATAAAAGCTAAACAGCAAGGACAACAATTGGGAGAAAATGTCAGCATTGCGGGATTTAAAAGACCCTGCGATGGCGGGCAGCTCTCATTGGAAAGTAAACCTTGCGTAATTCTTGTGGGATTAGGTACAAGTCTGAGATGATTGTCAGAAAATGCCAGCACTGCAGGACCAAAGAGACCCTGCAATGGCTGGCAAGCTCCACTGGAAAGAAAACCTTGTGTGATGTTGCCGTGTTAGGTACAAGTCCAAGATGATTGGGAGAAAAGGCCAGCATTGCGGGACTGAAACGACCCCTCAATGGCGACCAGGTCCCCATGGAAATAAAACCTTGTGTGATGCTTGTGAGGTTAGGTACCGAAAGTCTGGGAAGCTTGTCCCAGAATACTGCCCTGCAAGTAGCCCAACTTTCTCGAGGGAGTTGCATTCGAATAACCTCAGCAAGGTAATGGTGAGTACGCATTTTCGTGTTGTTTCTTTATAAGGGTTAGTTCTGTGTTTCATTGCGTTTTTACTTGGCTAAACTTTAACTCTGATGCATGGTAGTATTGCGAAAATCTCATTGGTCTTGCGATTCATGAAGTCGGAAGCGTTTTTTCTTGACTTAAAATGTCGAATTCCCTTGTTTGCTTAATTAGAATTTGGGCCATGTGGTTGGGGCATTTCCGTTTGTTGTCTGGGCTGATCTAGACTTGTTAGTTTGGGCTAGACTTTCTTATGTTGGACAATGCAGTATTCTAAACTACGATGAGAGGAATTCGAATTTGAGTCACATCGTTCTGACCGCACTGCTCTAAGCCAAATCTCGTTTAACTAACGGATGCGAATAGTATTAAGTCTTCGTAAACTATGTCATTTTCTTGTATCAAATTACGTTTAACGGCTGAAAGGGACGATTAACATCCACCAATGGTTTTTATTGACACCCATAAAGACCTATGGAAGCCCATGATTTTAAATTGTTTTAATGACATTTCTATCCTACTGCCAGATGATTCAAACGAACAACTTATATGTTGGAAAACAAAAGGGAGTTGCTACTAACACCGAAAAACAAATATCTTTTCCTTGCTTCCTTAAAGAAGTCACCGTTATTTATCTGCTAGCACTGTTCGAGACATGCAAAAGCAATTCACTGAAATTTAAGGGGTTGCTTGATAACCATTTGTTTTTTGTTTTTAGTGTTTAGTTTTCACTTCTTTTTTTTTAAATTGAAATTTTATTTGGTAATTACTTTCTGTTTTTAGTTTTTAAAAAATGTGAACTAAAAATCAAGGCTAATCTTTGAAAACTCAAGGAAGTAAATGAAAACTTAAAATAGATACCAAATAAGAATTTAGTTTTCAAAAAAGTGAAAAGTGAAAATGAAATGATTATTAAACCGCTCCTAAATGAAAACCCTAGTCTGGAATTGGTCAATCTACACCAAAAATACCACAAAAATACCATCTACTCTTTTTGTCCTTGTTATTAGTTTTTTCTTTTGTTGAAAAATGATGCTAAAACCAAAGCCCAAACAACTTAATCAATAATGAATCTAGTTCGGCACATTCCATGTTGATTCTCACAAACAAAACTAATTGAACAAGAAGGAGGATTATCAAAGTAAAAATTGCTAAATCTAAATTAAGACTATAGTTTGCTAAACTATCCTCCACAAATTTTTTTTTATATGTAGATATACCTAATATCTCATTGCCAAAATCTTGAAAGAAACTCTCAACAAGCCAAAACAATGGGATCCAAAGCATGATTATTGTTAGCAGCTTGAAACACTAAATGGATTGTGAGTCCAGAGTGATTCCACCAGTCATTTATCAATCTGTAATCTTCATATCAATTGTAAGCCCAAGTAAAGACCTAATAGCTCAGTAGTGAGAATCTCACATGTGCCAAAATTGGTGCAAAATCTAGAAGTCTATTTACCATCAGAATCCCTTAAAGCATCACCTGCTCTAATAGATTTATTATTTCACTTTTTGCAACCATTAACATTAATCTTAAACCACTATGAAGGAGGAGCTTCCCAATAGAACAATGATTCAATCTTATGAGTTTAGCCTTCAACTATTCATGAAGATAAGTACAAATAGCGACTTTAGGCTCATCAGTTATTGCAAAGTCCTGCTAAAAAATAAATTTATTTCACTAATACCAAATAAACCAACAAGCAACTGAAAAAAAAAATAATAATTTAACCTCCACTCTAAATCTCCCAATAGCGGTGAGGTCAAAATGAAGCCAATCGTGAAATTCAATATGGTCTAAGTGTTGATTATACATTCTCAACCCCTGCCAAACTTCTCTTGCCTTAGGAAAATCTTTAAAAATATTGTTTGTACCATACTTGACCAATCCCGAAACTACTGAGCACTAGTCAACGTTATACTGTCAAGGACCCAGAAGAGTTTCCCTCCAACCAGGAGGCCAATCACAGCGCGACATGTGTCGACATCAGAAGCCAATCATAGCGTGACACGTGTCAACATCAGAAGCCAATCACAACACGACATGTGTCAATGTCAAAATGAAACTAGAAACTCTCTTCTATAAATAGAGATCATTCTCTCACAATATTTCCTAATTTCATTTGTACTAAATCATTCACTAGTACTCACTAAAGGAGAGCTTGAACCTATGTACTTGTGTAAACCCTTCACAATTTATGAGAACTCCTCTACTCCGTGGACGTAGCCAATCTGGGTGAACTACGTACATCTTGTGTTTGCTTTCCTATCCCTATCTATTCACATACTTATCCACATTAGTGACCAGAGCAATCTAGCGAAGGTCACAAACTTAACACTTTCTTAATTTGTGAACTACTTAAAATTTGTTTATGTCCTGTTTTTGTTCGATTTAATTTAAATAGCAAATCAACTCCAAAAATCCTAAAAATTTGTGTCAGTGTAGCTCTGTATGTCTAGTGTCTTCATATAAAAGTTCGTAGAATTTAGACAAGTGTAAGTTGGTCTAATAATTATTTTTCGGTGGTTGGCCAGTAGGGACAGCAGCCCAACTTATGTGACATTTTAAGTAGTTAGATAAAACAATCTTTTGCGGGAAAGACTCTTATTTTCATATGCTACAATTGACAAATCTTAGTGTTAATAAGGAAAACCAATAGGACATTTGTGTGCTACTTTGTGGTGTACTTTTAATCCTATCATACATCTTGTGTTTGCTTCCCTATCCCTATCTATTCACATACTTATCCACACTAGTGACCAGAGCAATCTAGCGAAGGTCACAAACTTAACACTTTCTGTTGTACCAAAGTCCTCACTGCTTTTGTGCATCAACAAATATGATCCATTGATTCAAATCCACAAGTACATCTTTGAAACTCAGGGTTATCAGTCATACCCCTTTTTAGCCTTTGATTATTAGTTAGGAGCTTATCAAGAGAGAGCAGCCACAATAAACTTTCCGAATGAGATTCCATGGCCAATTAGGAAAACCACTAAAACAACTGGCCAACATATAAGCAGATTTCACAGAAAAATTACCATCCCTAGTTCCACTCTAGATACACTTATCAGCCAAAGCAACAAAACCAACTGTAACACTAATAATTTGTTCAACGACTCCTTTGGTAAAACAAATACCATTTTACCAATATCTCAATAATTATTGTAATAATAATTAGCTACAATAGCCTTAAGCATATCATTGGAGAGCAGACAGCTAGCATGATAAAGCAAAAACTACATATAGCAAGTTTGTTAGCCCAAAATTTTACCGTATTACCATTTCCAATTCCCCATAGTAGCCTCTCATGCAAAAGTTTAGTCTCTTCAAAAACATCTTTCCAAGTGCATGAAGAGCCTAAAGTAGTTTTATCTTTGAGTACCTGATCCATATCACCTTTAATATGGTTGCCGTGGAAATTTTTTGCCCAATGACCACCCTGCGTCAATCTCTAATAGTTCTTAGCAAGAAGAGCCAAATTCATAACCTTCATATTTTTCAAGCCAAGCCCACCAAGAGACTTTGGGAGGCAACCTGGCTCCATTTAACCAAGTTAACTTTATTTTTGGATTGAGTGGGCCCCACACAAAATTCTTATTCAATCTGTCAAACTGATCACAAATGATAACTGCTAATTTCACTGTCTGCATACTGGGATAGCAGAGGTGAAAGATTGAACAAGAGTGGCTCGACCAGCAAGAGATAACGAATTCACTTTCCAAGCAGAAAGTCGAGCTTGCACCTTCTCTACGAGGTCTTTGTTGGAGTTTTTAGTAATATGAGAATGAATGAGCGGAACTCCCAAATACTTCCCCAAAGTCATGAGTTCGAGGAGAACCACAAATGTGACTAAGATCAGTAGCCATTCCACGATTATTATTAGGAAAGCAATAGATTCTCGATTTTTCATAGCACATTTGCAGTTCAGAAGCCAAACAAAATTTATCAAGTCCGAGATGATTGACAGAAAATGCCAACTCTGCAGAACCAAAGAGACCCTGCAATGGCTGGCAAGTTCCCCTGGAAAGAAAACCTTGTGTGATGTTGCTATGTTAGGTATAAGTCCAAGATGATCGGGAGAAAATGCCAGCATTGTGGGACTGAAAAGACCTCTCAATGGCGACCAGGTCCCCATGGAAATAAAACCTTGTGTGATGCTTGTGGGGTTAGGTACCGAAAGTCTGGGAAGCTTGTCCCAGAATACCGCCCAGCAAGTAGCCCAACTTTCTCGAGGGAGTTGCATTTGAATAGGCTCAGCAAGGTAACAGTGAGTACGCATTTTCGTGTTGTTTCTTTGTAAGGGTTAGCGCTGTGTTTCTTTTGATATACTGACCAAAGCTAAGCAAATTTTGGGATTAGTGTGTTTGGTTGAGCTATAGACTAGTAAACAAAGATAGTGTTATTAGTTTTTGTCAAAGAGGTTTTGATAGGTTTCTTTTTCTTTGTATTTTTTTTTTGTCGTGGTTTTGTTCTTTTGAGATAAGCTTCTCGTTATGCATTGTGTTTTTACTCGGCTAAACTTCAACCAGTGAAGGTCCTGTAATGTGGTTTTACCTACACAGTTTTAGGTTCCAGGTTTTGGATAATCTGAAGTGTCTACTTATATGCTGTGTTGTTAAAAGGGAAGTGATTTTCTCTCCTCTTTCTTGTTGCGCACTCATTTTCTTTCCTTCCTCGTTTTTCCTTCGCCTTGAGATTGAGTAAATCAAAGCATAAGCGATGGATACAAACCAGCTGGAGAGTACACAAGGTGAATGCGAAAACCACTTTCGACTGTATTAAAATTTTCGAATTCTCTTGTCGTTGGACTGATCTTGACTTGTTAGTTTGTATGTTTTATGCGGTATTCTAAACTATAATCGAAGGAATTCAAACTTGAGTCACAGGGTTTGAGCGCATTACTCTAGTCAAATCTCATTTAACTATTAGATGGAAACAATATTAAATCTTCATAAACTATGTAATTTTCTTGTATCAAATTAGGTTTAATGGCTGAAAGGGACGATTAATCTCCACCAATGGTTTTTATTGACACCCCGAGTAGACCTAATGAAGCCCATGATTTTAAATTGCTTTAATGACATTTCTATCCTTCTACCAGATGACTCAAACGAACAACTTACATGTTAGAAAACAAAAGGGAGTTGCTACTACCACTCCAAAAAAACAAATTTCTTTTTCTTGCATCCTTTATTTATTTGCAAATCATAATTTGTTACATACAAAAGTAATTCACTGAAATTACAAAAAAAAAAAAAAAAAAAAAAAAACTTTTGTACACATTGAAGGAGCCAAAC